TAGCCGGCTTATGCTGTGACAGGAGACGAAAGCGACGCGTCATTTGATGTCTCCCTTATGGCTGAAGACTTCCCGAATTTACGACGTACATTAAGTGCTTCCAAGCTTGGTGTGTGAGTTAGAAATTGACTTTCATCCCGGCTGCTTAGTGGATAATTGACTTTAAAATCAAGCAGAGTCGTAACTATGACCCCTGCCCCACGCACGCCATTTCACTGCCCGCCCGTGCTGCGAAGCCAGGACGGGACACAAAGCTGGCGCCCGTCCCCCGTCCCGCCGCTGATGTCACGCGCGCCCTCCCGAGAACCGCACAAGACCCCGAGCCGCAATATAAACGTCACGGATGGACCGACGTTCAGTCCGTCTCATCTCAATGCACGGCTTGAGCCCCTGAGCCAGCTGGGGACCATTCCAGCGGTCGCTTGCCGTCCATCTGCGGCCCGGCCACAAGGGATCGGCGCTGTCCGTACTCCTGTTTTATGGCTCTGTCGTCGGTGTCAACTGCCCGGGTCGGAATTTACGACAGGCCGCGCCGGCTTCCCGGGACGTCTGATCGACTTGCAGGAGGTGGCGATAATGGCTTCCGTTCCGCAGCCGAGACCGGCCTGCCGGGCCCCTGTGATGTACGCCGCTTCGTGCGAACAGAGGCCGAGCGGGCAAGCGCTGAAATGGTCCCCGCGGTCGCAACGCTTCACAACCGGATCCCGCGCCAAGAAAACGTTCACAACACGCTTTGGCGACACATTTTATGTTATACGAGCATTCGCTTTCGAAGTGTTGGGGAGGGGGACGGGAGATGTAAAACCCCTGAGGTAGATAAAAAAGAGAAAGAATCAACATACGCCAAACAAAATATCTGCAAGGTTATCTTGAAAAGGCTAGTAGATCAGCAGTTGAGATTAAGGACCGTGAGTTCACTTCAAGTTTACCAGAATTACATCCTCGACTGGGCGACGAAATGACGAGGCACAGACCCCAAGGGTGACGCGAGGTGAAAGTATTGGGGCAAAGCTGACAACACAATGCTCATATAACATAAGCGTTTCCCCATCGATTCACGTGAATCAAATTAGAACGTAGCTGAAACCGCCGGAGTTTGATAAAAGCTTCCAAGGTCCGAAATAAGATGAAGCCAGGGTTAAGATAATCGACTAACCGACACTCGGTAGACGTATATCGATTGCCAACCCTCAGCCCCGGGCACTGAGACGGGTCCGAAACATGACGGGCGATCCTGGAAACCTGTCAGCGATAGAGCTCGGCCTCAACACTGTGCCGCCGGTCAAATATTGGACTCGCTCGATCATGGGCAGCCCAGTGTATCGAAGCCAGCCGTCTCCTGGGACTGGACGCTGACAGGCGGGAGGTTGCATGGACAACCCAGTTCAGCGAAGCCAGCCGTCTGCCGGGGCTGGACGCTGACAGGCGGGAGGTGCTATGGACAGCCCAGTCCGGCAAAGCCAGCCGTCTGCCGGGGCTGGACGCTGACAGGCGGGAGGTGCTATGGACAACCCAGTCCAGCGAAGCCAGCCGTCTGCTGGGGCTGGACGCTGAGAGGCGGGAGGTGCTAGGGACAGCCCAGTCCAGCAAAGCCAGCCGTCTGCCGAGGCTGGCCACAGGTGTGACGCGGCAGACACAGCCATCGCCGAGCGCCTCTGTCAGTGGCCGCACCGGCGACGCAACTCGTATCAACCGGGCTACATTGTTAAACACAGAGTTCGATTCAATCCAACTTAGTCTTCCGCCAGACAGTGCGGCGAATTATCAACCTCATTCTTGGATCAAACGGAACAGCGCAATCTAATTGTCATGTTTTAACATGACACCGTCGCATTCCAAACGTGCAACCATAGGTGTCAAAACAGTAGCACACGTGTGAAATGAACGTGCATTTAAGCGCCACTGTTCGGTCCCAGAGCGATGTTAATGTACATTGAATGTGCCCTTTACCAAATTTTACACAATGCTCTACGAATTTGGCCCCCACGACTGCACGCACGACGCACACACAAGAGTGGATACATTTTGTGGCCGAGCATATGCGGAGAGAGTACCAAACGTGCACAGAAATCCCAGTGGTGTGTAGACGTACGCTAAGCTCCAAAGTTGGCGGCACGGAGAACAATCCCAGTTCGCGAGGACTGTTCCGTTGGGCCAGCATGGAAAGGTCACCTGGCCGCTGACCACAGGGTTGGCCTAGCGTGGGACGATCGTTCGGTGCCAGTGTACGGAAGGTCTCCCCGCATTCTAAAATGACGGAGACATCATAGCTATCTGCACTGAGGCGGCACCAATTCGGCGTCGTGTTAAGGCCACACGCAACAAGCTTCAGTCAAGTTAGTAATCATGGGCCAAAATGTTTTTTAACACCTAATCTGAACGTTTCGAATGGATGGACTTATGGGCTCAGAGCTATCGCTAGGCTGTGCGTTTTGCGTGAGCCCCTGACCCCTACCATCCGATTGCGCAATTCCAGGCCAACGGCACAATTTGTCAGCGAGACTTGTTTAACGCGCCGCAATGCCCGGCACGGTCCGCTCTGCTCCCTAACGTCACCTGACCTTTGGCGCAGCCACTGCCGGCGGGCCTCAGGCAGAGCCTGTCAAGGTCAAATCGCGAGCGTCCAAAGCAACTCGAACAAACCCCGCCGCGGCTAGGTGGATCGGGAGGCAGACGGTCTAACCAACTGAGCCATCGGACGCATATTCCAGAAAACTTTGGAGCAATTTTTAGACGAGGGTGAAGACGAACATGGCAACATTGTTTGACGTGTTCTTTCAAGCAGTACGTTCTGACATAGCGCAACTCGGCTATTCCCAGCATAAGAATTTATCAAGATGAACGATATCTAGCAATGTGCGAATCCTCAAAACAAAGTTTCCTCCTATAAATGCTCGCATTTCAGTAAAACATGAGCAGAAAGAATGGAAAGAAAGAGCAGATGAGCATGCAGCCTGCACGCGCCATGATTCTGACGTAAATAAACCCTGATATCTTCTAATCAACAGTGTGCAGCATGTGCCATACGCTGGAGTAGAGATGCCCGTGCCCGTATTTGCCAATCACACATCGCCATCCAGTCGTGGTGTTCGACTGGCAGATGTTTTCGTGCCAGCCGACCGTCTGCCCAGGCCTCCAGGGCAGCGGAAGCAGATCGACCGCCCGCCCCCATAGGTCGAGATCCTCAGCCGGCAGCTGCTGCATCAATAACATGCGGGCGACGGGACCAGAGCCAGAGCCGGAGGGACCGGCCAGAGCCGGCCAGAGCCGGTCTCTGCCGCTGGGCGCTGTGACGAACGCGAGCACTCCACAGGTATTGATACCCGTGGCAATGGTAATGGCCCGTGCAATGACAAAATAGCTACAGATGTAGCTATCGCAATCCCGTACGTGTCAAATGTTTATTGTAATGTCACTCATGCTTTGAAAAGATTGCTCGGTATTTTGTTTTTGTACATTAAGGGGCAAACGAATTTTCTGACGCACTAGCCATACCGTGCTGGGGTTTTGGGATCAAGGTATTTGCAGCAGGGTAAGCCTAGCAAGCACCCTAATCAAAAACCGCCTCTACAAAAAAGCGAGCATCCGACACAATTTCGTTTACAACACATTTTTGAGCTTCCTGAGATGTTAAGCCCGATTGTTTGTTCAGCAACCAGTTTGTCATACAAGACCAGGAAAGTAGCACGTTGCCTATATTTTGGTCCGCTACCTGCCGGCTTTTCACACAAATATAGATCATCTTACGAGCATGTATGCTTGCGTACGTGTAATATTATTCCGTAAGCCAAAACATGCTCCACGCGTGTTATACACGCTTTGTAAC